CTTCGGAGTCAGGCCACCGACTTCAGATGTAGCAAGTAGAGATGGTGCAGCTGACGACGATGATAGCAATCGAAAGATGCGGCAAAACAATCGGACATGAGACGAATCATGAGGAAAAGCTCGATGTCCAGAATACGCAGAATCAACACGATCATGCCTTCCGCGTAAAATTCCACACATCGGCAATTCCCAACAATCCTGTGGTGTTGTTCGTTTTGGAAAGACAACGCCCCGCGTCCCACTCACTCATCCTCCCCCTCCTCCCTCCTCCAACTTCTGCCATCCGCAAGTCCATTTCTGTACACCCTTAGCCGTTGAGAGCTCCACCTAAGGCCCAACAGCTCTGCGCAACAATACTCTCTTTCTTCCATTTCGGCGCACCCCTGAAACGTTTTGTGGCCCCGTACGAAACTGTACCCAAGGCTCCAGTGGTTGGTCCTGGACGCCTGTTCCACACCATTTTGGCGCACGCCTCACACGTCTCGTGTTAGGTCGGGCATGTCCCCCTACAGGCGGATTCCGGACGAAAAATTTAAAGTATCCAAAAACACCGCAGGCATGCTCAGAAATATGTTAAAAAATCGTACCCAGACTATTTTTTCTTAACTATGTTTGAATATTCCCCCTGTCGAGGGACGTGCCCGACGTAGGTCTCGGAGCCCCATCGGAGAGCTCCACGACACGCCCCGGTGCTTGCACCCGCAGGCCAGGCCCGCACACTTCCGGCACACCACCCCTCACACGTCTCGTGGCCCCCGCGGGGAGCTCCACCCAAAGACTCGCCATCGCTCGGACGTCCATTCCCGGTGCTTTTGTCGGTTTCGTGCGCGATTGTTTCGCCAAATGATCAAGGATGCTCCTCGATGGTCCTCGCCGGAGGAGAAATGCACACGTCCGAGCGATGCCAAGAAGAAGGACCCAGCGGTGGCGCCGGCATGCCCAGTCTACACCATGTCGGCGCACCCCTCACATTCTTCGCAGTGGTTGCGCCCGCATGCCAGGTCCATACAATTTCGGCACACCCCTCGCACGCTTCGTGGCCCCATAAGGAGCTCCACCGAAAGACCCAGCGGTTGCGCCCGCATGCCTAGTCTACTCTATTTCGGCGCACTCCTCGCACGCTTCGTGGCCCCAGGGGGAGCTTCGCCGAAAGACCCAGTGGTTGCGCCCGCATGCCTAGTCTACACTAATTCGGCGGACCCCTCGTACGCTTCGTGGCCCCATAAGGAGTAAAGTCCCGGCAGTTGCGCCCGCATGCCTAGTCTACACTAATTCGGCGGATCCCTCACACGATTCGTGGCCCCAGGGGTAGCTTCACCTAAAGCCACAGTGCCAGGGCCCGCATGTCTTATCCACACTATTTCGGCGCCCCCCTCACACGCTTCGTGGTCCTGTCGGAAGCTCCACCTGAGGCCCTAGTGCCAAGGCTCGCATGCCTGATCCACACAATTTCGGTGCACACCTCACATGTTTCGTGGCCCCATGGGAAGCTCAACCTAAGGCCCCAGAAATTGCACCCGCATGGCGTCTCCGTACCATCTCGGCACACCAGTCACATAATTCTGGGCACCATGGAGGGCTGTGCCGAAGACGATACTCACAACTGCGTTGGTCACAACTGCATATGATTGGGTCGCTTGCCAGGCTAATTTTCTGATGCTGACAGAGCACAGAACGGAGAACCTGGCGCAGCAACCCGATACTACAACGTGTTGAAGGTCAGCCCAGACGAAACGCACATGACGAACCGCAGCGGCCGAATCTGCAGCGACACAAGCAACATCCCATGCGGGCTGCGGCACCGCCGGCTGCTTTTCCCTGCGTCCTTCTGGACGGCTGTCGCTCGCCTTCTGTGCATCTCTTGGATCGGGAGCGGCCAAAGAGGGGGGCGTCCAAGAGGGGGGGGGGTACAAATCATGACCGTCGGCATGTGCGCGGCCCAGCGGGGGGGCCAGGGACGTAATGAAATAAGAAGAGGCGCCATAAAATCTGGGGAAATCTCACGGCCCGCGCCATGATATCCACCCCCCCCTAGTCATCACCCCCCTCTTTGCCGCCCCCGATGGGGGGGCCGATCTTCGCTTCCGCCGGTGGAGCCGGGGCCGCCCTACTTCCGCCGCCTTCCACCTGCCTAGCGCGGGCCCTCCGTCGCGGTCCCCGAGGGGTCCACAGGCTGCTGACTGTCACAGGTATGAAGGGGAGCTGGGACACACAACTAAATAGACACAAATAAAAAGATTCCCCCTAGTTTCCCATATTTTTTGGGGTGGTTTTTGTCTTCCCCCCCACTTCCCAAATTTTCCCATATCTTCCTGGAAGTCGACGATTACTCCAGATTTAGTAATAAAAGGGAAGGGGTCTGGACCCTCCAAGACAAGCCATTTCAGACCTCCCCCGTGGGAGAAGCCTCCAAAACATCGTCCCCAGACCCCCCCAGGCCCTCCAAGATAGCCTGGAAGAGACCCCCCCCGAAATGAGACCCCCCTCCCTTTATTACGAAATCTGGAGTAACTGTGTCTGTGTGTTGCTTTCCCTCCTGAAGATCGTAGTAATCCACCTCTCGGCCCATCGGGGCAGCGCGCGGAGGCGCGCCCCATCGCGCACCTCGACGGTGGCTGCAGAGTCCACCCGCCCTGCAGCGAAAGGCACACGCTCACGGAGGCGTTTGGCCGACCCCGTGGCGCCCAGGAGCGCGCCCAGCGAAGCGCGAATCGGACATCATTTTTTTCCACCCTAACATGATTCAAACGCATTAGAAACATGTTAGCGCCTCGGCCTGTTCAGCGAAACGGGTGGCACTACATATGAGGAACAAAACGCGTCTCTACGCGCAAATCGGACATCATGCATCCCCCTCGCATGGCGCTATGAGGCGCACTTGGGCGCCATTGGAGCACCGCTTGAACGCTGCTGCATGCTATTGGCCGGCGGTGGACAAACCTCCCTTTAGTAAACCACCCTTTAGTGAAAACGGCCTGGGACCCAAACCGACGGACCTGGACCCGCACAAACGACGCCCGCGACGCCCTCTCGCGAACCGAGAACGGTCCATTCGCTGATCGACGCGCGAGGGCAGGAGGCCTGTCCACCCCCGATCTTGGGCACTCTTTGGCGCCTCTTCGCCGATATACCTCCGACCCGAGACGAGCATTGGGTGTCCCAAAACCGTGTGGTGACAGACCCGGCGGTGACCTCGAAATCCGCAAAGACCTCACCGCACGGTCCGTCACCACACGGTTTTGGGACCCTGGAGGCTCCAGTCGCCCGAGACATCCTCGGAGAACGACCCAAGTCCCAAAACCGTGCGGTGACCCCGAATCCCCACCGACTCACCACACGGTGTGGTCACCACCCCGTTTGGGAGCCCCCGAGAGCAGAAACCTCCGTGCTTTACAGTCGGATGCAACGGGCCTGCGCCCGCGGCCACGACGCGCGCGCTGCGGCCTCTGGCGGCGCCGCGGGCTCTGGGCACCGCGGCGGCCACGCGTGCGCACGCGGCCTGCGCATGGAGCGACCACGTCCGCCCAGCCGGGCTCCGCACGGGTTCCTCCACGGGTGGTCGGCGCCGAGCACCGGCGGCCTGCCCAGTCCTGCCCCCCCCCCTCCCTCCCCCCCCCTGCCTGCTCCGCCCCCTGTCGACAGTTCGTCTGCGGCGACTCATGGGAGCCTTCCCATACCGTCTGGCTGGCCCCTGCGAATCGGCGCTGGTCGGCGCGAGCCGACGGGAGATCGACGCTGCATCAACGCTAGTCGACGCCCAATCGGCGCAATCTCATCGAGCACCAAACGCCAATCGACGCTCGTGCACCCTAGAAACGGAATGAGGAGGGTGTGCAAGGCCCCCATGATTTTCTTGCGAACTCTTCCCGTCTCGCAACCGCTAGCGCGCAGTCGCGCGCGGGCTCGCGAGGCCAGGGCGCACCCCGCGCCTGGTCGCCCGCCGCGCCGGGACGGAGACATGAATCGCCTCGAGGGCCATTGGGGCCCCCCCGTTCCCGGACCCTTCCTTCTGCGCCCAACGCCACCTCACCCAAGGAGCCGAACTCTACACACCGACGCCTCTTCCGGCCCCGCACTGAAACTCGCACAGGACAGCGGATCCTGGTGTGTACCCCCAGGAAGCATTTAAGACCCCCCCCCCCCCTCCGGCAAATCGATAACCCTTCCGCACCCTGGAAGCGTTACCTGGCACCAGGAGCCCTCCTTGTGTCCGTGTGCTAAAGCTATCGTTCGGTTATCTCGGCCCTTCGGAATATCGAATAAAAAATGCGGTGCTACGATATCGCCGGGGGGGTTCTGAAATGCTTCCTGGGGTTACGGGATCCTGGTGTAGACCTCTTTTCGCCGCTTCCCCGGGAAGACGGAGACAACAAGTCTACACCACACCACCCCGACGCCGTCGTGCGGAGCTGGCCGGGCGCTCGGCTGGTGGCCGGGGCGGCGAGGCCGAGCTCGCCGCCGGGAGGCTGGGCCTTCCCCCCCCCCCCCCCCCGAGAGCTGAGAACTGGCGGCGATCGGGTCGCACTGACGTGGGGGGGTCGCCCCCCCAGATGGTCTGGTACCGGAAATTTTCGGTAGCGATTTCGACGCACCTCGAAATTCGGTAGCGACCGGATCTTCGGTTGAGGGCGTTGAAGTAGCGGATTTCAGAACGCTCTGATACCGGTATTGGGCGCTACATTTCGGTATTTCGGTAGCGACCGATCTCTGCGGAGCGCTACCGGAAATTTTCGGTAGCGGACCATCAGGGCCAGGGGGGGGGTGACCAAGACAGGTAGCCTGCAGCATCACACGGGCGAAGGCGGCCAACAGATCCCCCCCGGGGGGGGGAGCAGCTACGTCCCCCCGCGCCCGGAGGTGCTGTGGGGGAGGGAGGAGGAGGAGGAGGAGGAGGAGGAGGAGGAGGAGGAGGAGGAGGAGGAGGAGGAGGAGGAGGCGTCCTGCCCCCTTCCTGTGCCTCCGATGCCCATCGGATGCGCGCAGGAGCGGCCCGAGGCCGT